AAAAAAAGAAGAAAGGCACACGATGTTGTACAAATTTGTTGTAGAATCTTTCATTTTTACCTGTTGCCTTGGTCTACAGTTCCCCCTCTTGAAAGTGTCATGCGCACCACACACCTAACAATAAATCATTATTAACAATCCACTCTGAATAAAAAATGAATACAGGAGATCATTGCCAATTGCTCTCATGCCTCAGATCTCACAATGTATTATATGTGCGTTTGACGAGACAAATGCTTTAAACTGCTCCCCAAGTGCACAATTGTGAAAGGGGTGTCAGGGTTAGATTTGGATGGATGCATGGATTTTAAATTCCATCCTAAGATATATATATATATATATCGTATATATATCGTATATATATATCGTCTTGTCATCAGCAGAGCATTGCTGGGAAATCTCATCTGTAATCTCCCAAGATCTCAGGGAAAGGCATTTTCCTCCCGTGAGATGATGTGCATGGTCACATGTCCCAGTCACATGTCCTAGTCACATGTGCCAGAAATCCAGGAAGTAAAAGGAGAGCTAGTCATCTGCCCTTAGTAAATATGGCTACTGTCAGACGACTTGGGAAGAAAAGTGAAATAAGGTATGCAAAGACTACAAATCCGGCAGTGATCTAGAAGTTTGTGTGTGTAGATTGTCATGACTAAACATTTCTAAAGATGTGTTTGTTGTTATTTTACAGATTTGAGTGAAGGTCGGCTTTAAATGATGCAGCATCAAAGTGCAACTTACCTGAGTGAGATGAACACTTGCTGTGTGTCCTGGGAATGTTCAATCACACACTCCAGAGCTTTCACAACTATTTTCGGTTGATTGTTCTGTAGATAGAAAACCTCATTAGTAATCTCCTGCACTATCACTCATTAATAGATGCTCCGATGTGTTGAAGCTGTAAGGAGGAGCCACAGCTTTTCGGTGGGGAGATACAGGAATCTGATACAACTGGAAGTGTTGGATACTGAAAATTCTGCCGGCAGGGGTAGCTCTGCATAAGGGGAAATATCTGAGGCACGGATGATAGGGATGGGATTTGGGTTCACCACTACAATGGGACCACGTCAAATCCCAGAGACTGGCGAATGAAGAACTCTTGGCCATAAGGTTTGCAGGTTTGCCGCCGGAACCGAGGAACAACCATTAATGCAATGCATAGCCAGAGGAGATACAAGAGCCAATCATTTCAGGAATGTGTAGCCCAGATCCCTTTCTACAAAAAAAAAACAGGAAAATTGTATTTCATACTTACCGCAATTTTCCTTTACTGTCCAGCACCATGGCTGCACACGAATGGGTTAATCCCTCCCTCCTCCCACTAATCAGGATTGTAACTCATAAAAGCTGAAAGAGTCCCCTGGCTTGCCGTTCCGTAACTCGACTACTACACGGGTGGGCATTGTGCTGCCATGGAGCTGGACAGGAAAGGAAAATTGCGGTAAGTATGAAATACAATTTTCCAGTTTTTCTGTCAGCTCCATGGCAGCACACGAATGGGAATTAACTAACAAAATGGAGGGGTATGCTCGAAAACCTTTTTAATCCCAAAGCATAGCAGAAGAAATAACCCTACGGCCGAATCTAACCGTAGTTAAGGCAGCTGGATCTACACAGTAGTGTGTCATGAACGGGTGCGGAGAAGACCATGTGGCCACTTTACACACAGTCTCAAAGGAAACACGACCGGCTGCAGCCCAAGATGTGGCCAGACCCCTCGTGGAACGAGCAGACAGCCTACTCGGTACAGGTATGTGCTTGGCCTCATATGGTAACTATATCGCCTTCACCATCCAGGATGCTATGAGCCCACAGGATGCCTTAGCACCCTTCCCGGCACCTGTCGGAACAATAAAGAGATCATCTGTGGACCCGAGCTCTTCTGTGGCTGAAATATCACCCACCCGTAGGAAGTCCAGCACATGTAGGAATGCCTCCTCCACCCATTGTGAGCAACAGCAGTGTACTTACACTTTGTTAGCCAGGCCCGAGGATTGCCAGCGGGGCTCCCATGGACCTGCACCATTTAGGCAAGGACTCATAGGGACTTCGCCAACTGAAGGAGGTAGAAGAAGAAGGAGGCGGACAGCAAGGAATGTATCCCTGCCAGGTAGGCACACTGCTCTGATCCTCACATGTAGGAAAAAAAAAGGAACAGCAAGCCAGGGGACCCCTTTAAGCCAGGGGACGCTTTTGTGAATTACAATCCTGATTAGTGGGAGGAGGGAGGGATTAACCCATTCGTGTGCTGCCATGGAGCTGACAGGAAAGAGGGTTCCCAGCAGCCATATTGTGTGTTTTTTCTGTTAGGGAGAGCTGAAAAATCTGTGCAGGGAGAGATAAATGGCATTGGTGGATGTGCCCCATGGCAGTGACGGCTTCCCATGTGTATTGTTTGACAATATCTTGCATATTAGCCCTACAAGTGGCCGGAATTGAATACCAAGATTCACCCCCCCAACCCAGAGACTTCATTGGGATTCACCACAAAGTTACCAAACTTCAAGAAAGTTTCACAAAACTCGATCCTGTTCACGACTCAACTCAGCTGGACACCCTTCATGTCAACCTGATGGATCTCATGAGGTGTGACCAGAAGAGACAACCTTCAGGAGGGGTGTGTGATATCAGGACGTAACTCTCATCACACTCGTATTATGATCTTACCTCCAATGCTATTTGTGCTGCCATACTGAGGAGGTCAGTAGATGAATAGTATTGGTCCATAATAGGTGTCATGCTATCTGTCTGAGTCGCCATCTTCCCCATAGCAGTGACAGCATTCAAAGCTGCAATAATCATAACAAATCGCAGTGATTTTTAATGCAGTCAATAGTCTGGTCACATCTCTTCGCTTTCATAAGATAATTGTTCATCCAGACATCACAATTTCTTCAACGTGTGTGTCCAGCCAAAACATTTTTCTTCACATTTCGGTGGAGTGGGGGAGGATTAGTACCCCCTTGTGGGTTTTTACTGCTTCAAGGCAGAAACGGAGCAGCAGACCAAAGGTAACAAATGTAAGAAATGCACAAGCAATGGTCAAAACTGTATATTTTTGCATTCAAGAGGACAAAGCATTGCAGTCGCCATCAGTGCATCTTGAATTGCCTCCAGCCTGGATCTAGGGTTGCCACCTGTCCAGGATTCACCCGGACAGTCTGGGTTTTGAATGCTGTGTCCGGGTTTAATAGCAGCAGAAACCCAGACACATGATGCAGGCAGACAGGGGCAACCAAAATTATGATAGGGGCCACTGCCCCTCCACTGAAAATAGTCTTGACTGTGATATTTACATATGAATGGGTGGTGCTATTTACATATGAATAAGCCGCGATTCATCCTCCCCCAAAAATTTCCATACGTTGCTGGAAAAGGTGGCAACCCTACCTGGATCCCTACCCTGCCTGACCACACACCTGTCTTTCATCTGCTCCCTGTACTGGTGTGGGTTTCCTCTCACCCAAAAGGCATGCTGTTGGGTTTATTGGCTACTGTCTAAATTGGCCCTGGTATGTGTGTATATGTATACATGTGAAAAGCAGTGGTGTATTTTGGTTTTGTGCTGTCCTAGGCAAGACTAAACTCGGGCACCCACCTCAGTCTAAATATGCCACACCCCTTCCTGTTTAGGACATTTTGTGCAACCTGTCAGTCACTGGATACAGCGCATACAAGGTCTCAGGAGAGCTGTACATGGTCTCAGGTGGGCTGTACGTGGTCTCAGGAGAGCTTTGCATGGTCTCAGGAGAGCTGTGCGTGGTCTCAGGAGAGCTGTGCATGGTCTCAGGTGGGCTGTACGGGGTCTCAGGAGAGCTGTGTATGGTTTATGGTGGGCTGTGCAGGGTCCCAGGAGGACTGTGCATAGTCCCTTTCCCTGCATACATGTGCTGCTCCTCCTACCTGCAGCTCGAAGTGCCATCAGTACCAACCGGATACATTGCATTTCCCAGCCTGCTTCTGGGACATCCTGCCATCAGATCACATGCTGTGGCCAGCCCCAAGCCACCCGCTGCTTCTCCTCCACCCCCTGTACAAAGCCAGCCAGACTGCATTTCACTGGGCCCTCCCCTCCACTGGGCAGCTCTCTAATTAGGCAGCCGCTCTTAGGGTCTTGTGGCCGCCTAGTTTGCCTCATTAGGAAGCCGCTGCTGCCTAATTCTGTGCCTCCCAGCCTCGGGCCACCGGCAAGTGCCCAGTATGCCCAAAGGCAAGTCCGGCCCTGCCTGTCTCATTGGTTTGAGGCAGCATTTTCTGCCGCCCCCCTGGAAAGTGCCGCCCTAGGAAAATGCCTAGTTTGCCTTGCGGTAGATACACCCCTGGTGAGAAAGACAGCTTCGATTGTGAACCTCTTGAGGGTAGTGACTGTTGTGAATAAAGTGTTGTCAGTATGTAAATGTCAGTAATAGTACACATTGATTTCCATAGCATGCAACAAAAGACCATTTACCGTCCAACTCATTATTTCCTCGAACTGCGATCTTAAACAGGATAAAATGAGTGAGGATGTTGTCTGGGTCACATTTCTCAGCTGCAGTCACTGCTTCTCTTGCCTGGAATAAAGAGAATTCCTTACAGATGTGCGGGTTTTTCCCCCCAGGACATCTTAATGAAATTTGCAATTTTAGCTTCATGCATTGGAATCTTAGCGTAGGGAGCAATGAAGGTGGGCATCCATGGTTTATGAGGGTGCAATGGGCTTTAAAGGCTGACGTCTATTGGTAACACAAATCTTACCTGGGAGAGTTCGTCGAGATGCAGGAAGCAGGAAGCTCGGTTTCTCTGGAGTTTGGCAAAGCTGGTTTCAGTGCAGTCTGAAGCATAAATACCCAACGAATAGTTGTACCATTCCATGGCCTCGGAGTAGCTTTTCCTCTGAAGATCAGAACACGTATATAAAATGTATTAGTGATAAAATAATGCCGGAAAAATCCTCAAGACACGTGAGTCACCTAAAGAGTATATATTGTATACGTATCTGGCAAGAGCTACAGTATGTGTATATAGGAGTTCATTCATAGCAATAAAAAAAAGACGGCTGGGAGTTCTGCTTCAATGTCTAATAAACCATCTCATCCATATTAGGGGATGCCAGCCCGTAACCCCAAAATACTGTATACACACGCAAAAAAAACTAAAGATGGTCACCTGATGGTCATGTGTGGTATAAAATGACTTTTTTATTCCAAAAAAGCACGTAAAAAAAGCATAAAATTAGTAAAAAATAATCAAAGACGTCCACCAAAACATCACCAGATTAAAGTGTAAGATCACCCCAGAATTACTCAATAAACACTATAACACATGTACCATGTTTGTCCATGCTCGGGTTCTCCAGCAATCAGCATTGGAAATTGCCAGCCATGTACCAGTAAAACCATGCAACTCTTGGTGTCACTCATCTCCCCCATGAGACTCATGGTGTCACTCATCTCCCCCATTAAAACTCATGGTGTCACTGATCTCTCCCTCATGCAACTCATGGTGTCACTCATCTCCCCCATGCAACTCATAGTGTCACTGATCCCCCCCACCCCATGCAACTCATGGTGTCATTCATCTCCGCCCTGCAACTCATGGTGTCACTCATCTCCCCCATGAGACTCATGGTGTCACTCATCTCTCTCTCATGCAACTCATGGTGTCACTCATCTCTCCCCCTGCAACTCATGGTGTCACTCATCTCCCCCATGCAACTCATGGTGCCACTCATCTCCCCCATGCAACTCACGGTGTCACTCATCTCCCCCGTGCTATGTACGTCTTGTGATTGTAAAGCCTGACTGGGAAATGTTGTCAATGACCTTAATGATGTAACATGGCATCAAAGTAAGACATAGATAGCACTAGGGGGGCTGAGCGGCACCATGAGTTGCATAATGTTTATCACAAATGGCTGCTGTCTTCCAATGCTGGTTGTGGACAACCACAGCGTACACAGAAGTCAAACATGTTGCGATGCGTGTATCAAGGTACATGTGTTATACGGCTGTTTAATGTTCAAAGAGTGACTCTAGTGTGAACTTCCACTTTAAAATGACAACGTTGTCACCAATGCCCCCCCAATGTCCGGATCACACTCTGGGTAACTCTTCTAGTTACTTTATTTGTGATGTAAATGGGGAATTATTAGAACTGATCCTCCCTGAAAACAAATGGGACTCCTCTTATCTTCCTCAGCCTCTTGGGCTAAATCTTGTCATCTTGTTTCTTCTTTAACAGAAAGGAAGAATGCCTTTATTCATCATCTTCAACCATATTGGATACATACACATAACTGGACTGACGTCCAGAGGAGATGGCTTCACGTTTTGGGAATTTGGGCAACAAATGAAAGTCATTAACACCAAAATGCCTACTGACCTCGAAGCTTTTAGCAGCAAAGTCCCACAAAATGACATGCAAATCATTCAAGGTCTTAGAAGACAGCGGTTTCCCACTGTAATGTCCTGAAAAAGAAAATGTTAACAATATTGCAGAATGTCCATGATTAGGGTCTGATGCATAATGGCTGTACACTGGGCAAATGTTGTTCACATTACAGCCACTAGATGGCACTGAGTAGCATAGGAAATCCCTTTGTTCCTCTAGCTCCATCCAGTGGCTGTGATGCCGTGTGAACGTTCGGCGAAGCCTCTGTACATCAGCCCCTAAGTGTTGCCACCTGGTGCCACCCTTTTACCTAAAACTCACCATACGCAGATTGAATGTTTCCATTTCCTCTACACATCCCTGACAATATCATCCCCTACCTGTTATTAAGTCTTCTACTTTCTGTCGTGCCATCAGCCCCTTTCCTCGCTTTGCCAAAAGTTCAATTTGTAGAAGTAGAACTTTCTCATTATCAGGAGTAGACTCAAAGTGGGTGCAAACCATTTTCAGGAAGTCAAATCCCACGCAGTCCCTGTAAAATGACGCAGGCAATCCTTTGTTAGGGGTGCTATCAACGTATTGCCTGAATATGTGTTATTTTCCTTCCATAAAGTTTTATTCACATACAAAAAAACAGAAAATATTATCAAAACCTGAGCAGACAGAACCTGGAGCAGTTGCCCATAGTAACCAATCAGCTTCTCTCTTCCGTTTGTTCAGTTAAGGTTTGAAAATGAAAGCTTGAAGCTGATTGGTTGCCAGGAGCTCCTGGTTCTGTCTGCTTCAGTTTTGATAAATTTCCCCCTGTGTAGATCAATTGCAGTGTGTGAGATGTATGGAGTAGTATTACTTTTTTCACTATAAAAAGAGGGGAACACTCAAATTTTTTAAACAAAATGATGCAGTAGGGGGGCAGAACAACAAAGGAAAACAGCCCTTCAAACAGTGTACATTCAGTCACAAAGATGGCGGGCACGCAAAAAGGGGGAGGGACAGCGGTGCATTAAAGGAGGTCACCTGTTGGGTTATGACTTACATTAAAGTGATATTAGAGTCAAAAGGATTTGAAGCTATTTCAAATGCTGATTAAATCACTTACAATGGGCGCTGCTCCTTGATGTATAAAAGTTTTAGTTTCCTGCAGAATCAGCTGCTCACCTGAGCACTGGTCCTGACTTCCTGTTTTAGAGTGACTCCTTTGTCAAGCAGAGTTCTATGCAGTCACCCCTGTGTGCGCTAGTAAGCTGTGTGTGTCTCCACATAAAGACATGGGGTGATCAGTTTGGTGTGGAGGAACTCAAGTGTCCTGCACAGAGCCCTGACCTCAACCCTACTGAACACCATCAAGATGGATTGCAACCCCTCCAAATGATGGTGTTCAGGTGTCTCCAGTGAAGGTTCTGGTAATTCTACATCATACAAAGACATTGTAGACAATTTTGCAATTCTGGCCTCAGAACATAGCCCCATAGAAATCTAGAATTCTACACAATTGTAGAAGTGTACAATTGTGCTCTGCCTGCCTTCCAGCCTTGTGGTCACAGTTTGGTGAAAACCCTTTTCTGTTCCACCATGACTGTCCCCTGTGTACAAAGCCAGCTCCATAAAGACATGGTGTGATCAGTCTGTGAAGGTCACTCAAGTTCCTCCACATCAGAGCCCCAATCTCGACCCTATGGAACACAGGAACACTACAGGAATTATTGAGTTGAGGTGTACAAAGCCAGCTCCATAAAGACATGATGTGACCAGTTTGGTGTGGAGGAAATCGAGTGTCCTGCACAGAGCCCCGACCTCAACCCTTCCTAGTAGGTGTGATGGTCAAGTGTCCACAAACGTGGTCCACAGCCACATGGTGTATTTCACAAGTGTATCACAGTATGTATGCGGAAGGAGAAATTAAGAAAAGTATAGACAGAACTATAGAGACAAATGTGTCAGTTTGATCGCACCTTTCGTGTTGTATGAGGAGCTTCACAGTGCTTAGATACACATCTAGGGATAGGTCATGTCGCAGCATCTCCGCGGCCGCTGTGTGTCCATAAAGATAAATGTTAGCTGATTGAAATTTGCGGATTGATTATTATTGTCACACTTGCTAATATATCTCACCCATGGAAATGACATTGTCGGGCAAGGAGCCATTCAACAGGATTTTCATCTTCAAAAAAAGACCGGCTGGATGGAGGTGTTCCTGAATATCCAGAAGCAGGAAAGATTAAATCCACAAAAGAAATAAAGTCAACACATTTCCTTTAAGGCACACACCTTACAACCATCGCAAGAATTTTGTCTTGCGATGGTTGTAAGGTACTTAAAAAAACGTACGATCTGCCTATCTTGGACAGGCAGATCGTACTTGCGATGATCTCAAGCCGCGCCCCCCTGAGGGTCGGGCTTCCAATGACCGCAATGCCGAACGGGCAGTGTGCGCTTGCCCGTCCGGCTTTCATCTTACAAACATGCTACATGCTGGGGTGATCTTAAAAGTCGTGCAACCTTAAGGTGCCCATACACTGAGAATCGCGGGAAATCCGGCGATCGTACGAGAATCGTGCAGTGTATGGAAGGCGTGCAACCGTTTCTACTGCACGGTTACACGTCTTCCGTCGAACCAGCATGCTAGAAAACCCGCCGAGAATCGTACGATTCTCGGAGAGTTAGTGGCCTGCTGGTTCGACAACTGCCGAACGGGCCGGTGTGCGCACGCGCACACTGCCCGTTTGCAGTCATCGTAAGCCCGCCCCTCATTACAGTCATCGTAATCCCGCCCCTCAGGGGGGTGGGCTTGCGATGATCGCAAGTACGATCTGCCTGTCCATGATGGGCAGATCGTACGTTTTTTTAAGTACTTTACAACCCTCGCAAGACAAAAGTCTTGCGAGGGTTGTAAAGTGTATGGGCACCTTTACAGTAGTAGAGGTCGCACGGCTTTCACACACCTTACGATAATCGTACGATCACGGGATTTCCCGCGATTATCTTAAGGTGTGTGGGCACCTTACAACAATGACTATTTGTTTCAGTTTTTCTGATTGCTGTGGAACTCCTGACAATCAGCTTAATAAAGAGTTAAAATACAAAGAGTCGCACCCCTTCAGACTCAGATACATTGCTAATAAAACTATCCTGTGATTCTCCACTGAAGCCTATGGAGATGTTAAACCTGCTGGAAGCACGTCAGATCCGCTTACATGCATCCGTCAATGAATCCTGAAGGATCTCAGAAGGGCCACACTGATGCCATTGACATCCTAAATCCCATCCACACAGGTCTCTTGTATTTTTTGGCATGAGAAAACGTCCAGCATAGTTTATAGGAGCCTCTCCAACCCCATGAGCCATTTAAAGCCAATTGCACCCTTACCAACCACCTTACATTTACCTCCTCTGATGATTCCAATGCATTTGGCCAAAAATAGTGGAAAAAGTTCCCCGAAATCTCCCAGTATTCAGGAAAATTTAAAAGAGAACTATGTGGTTAGGGCTTTTCCCCATCGTTCTCCTTAGGGTAACGGGAGGACACAAACTAGCGTCCTCCCGTCACCCTAAGCTCAGTATACCGCGAGTAACAGGGGAGGGGGGAATCCAGCCCCTCCCCTGTCACGGCAGAGAGCAGTGACAGGATCGAGAGGTGAGCGAACGCCGGTATGTGTTCGCTCACTTCCCAATCTACTGAGCCGACCTGTGACAGTCTCATTGTCACAGGTCGGTTAGAACTCTGAGGTGAGTGGAAAGAACTCACCTCATAGTTCTCCATTAAAAAAAATGAAACATGCAATTTCACTCATCCACACACATAAGGAAGCTGAATGTACCTATCATGAGAACATATGGACACACATGTAACACACTTAGATAATTGACATGCATCTGATCATTACATTCACCTTGTTTGCTAATCTGATGGCATTTAGTGCTTTATCTTGGTGTAATTTGCAGTCCCATTCCAGATACACTGTTGCAAGCAGCCGGAGGACTTTAGCCTGATAAAAACAGCAATAGAATTTGTAACTCTTATTAAAAATATATGCCAGTAAAAAGGAATAAATGAAGTGTATATGGTGCATGTAAAGCTGGTGTTGCCAACCAAATTTTATGCTGGGGACATAACTGTCATGGAGTTTTCATTTCCTGGCTGAGTAGAGCATCTGCCCGGCCCACGGGGCTGCAATTGGAGTCATGGGTGGGCATGCACTCGTGTGGAGGAGTGTGCATGTCAGCATGCATGGTTTGCAGTGTGCGCGCACATGACTGGTATCGGCAGGGCAGGATTTCCCACAAGGCCAAATGAGGCCTGGCCTCGGGGCAGCAGGGAGTAGAGGGGCAGCAGGGATGTGGAACTCCTACCTCCCGATGCCCTGGACATGCAGTTCCGGGCGCTGGGCGGGTAGTTGTTTTCTACATTTAGCCCTGCTTTGGGCAAACAGGCCTAAATGTACAGCGGGGAAGCCGCCGCATGTGTTGTACAAGTGATCTTGGCGATGTCGCCAAGATCACTTGTATGCAGCCTGCATACAGGGGGGTGCATTGAGGAACCTGGCATTGGGGCAGCAGAGAGAGTAAATCCGGCCCTGGGTATCGGTACTGGCGCCATTAAGATATTTAGGCCCCATTCACATTGAGCGATTTATCGCGCGGTAATTCCCGCGATATCGCGGCTATTTACCGCGCGATATCGCTCTTCAATGCTTTACAATGGGGCAAAGGGTCCTGCTGTCGCGGGTCGTGTGTCGCTACAGCAGGACCCTTTTTGGAGCGGATTTTGCAGCGATTCAATGCTTTTTGATGCAAGCATTTGCGCGATATCGCGTAAAATGCAAATCGCGCGACAAACACGCGATTTGCGAATCGCCAAGTGTGAATGGGGCCTTAAGGCTCTGCCTCAATCAGGATCATTGTTGACTGGTCTTCAGCTGTTTCCCTACAACCTGACCTGACCTGCCTTGTGCTCATGGATAATCTGCTTTTACCTACCTGACTTCCATTCCAGACCCGATTTGGGGTTCTCCTGTACTACTTGGCTCGGATCCATGCTGTTCAGTTGCTTACGTTAAGCTGTCTCCTTGTTTCTGATTCTGCTCGCTGCTCGATGTATTGGTAACTGTCTGGCCTGCTTTATAACCCTGTCTAGGATGTGCTTGCTGACAAACCAGTTCTAGATGAGGGTTCAACACCCACCCAGGTCATCTACTTATTCTGCGGCTTCTTCCTAACTGAATCTGAGGGTTCCTGCCCTTCCTTCAACTGACCCAGCATGTGTGACCTTCCAAGGACTCAGCACTACCTGTTATTCAATAAGGGGAATTTAGGGTTGGAGCAGCAGGAGAACAGAGCCTTCACAATACCATAAAAGTGATTTGGTGACTTTACAGCCAACTGGAATAGTCACACATTATCTCTTCTTGTACTGAGTATGTGACAATCACACACAATGTTACTGGGGCAGGAAGTGAGTATAGATCCTCCCCGTGTGTCTGTAACACAGCCTGCAATAAAACTTAGCAGGGGCTATAACCCATCCAAAAACAATTTCCCTAGATCTGCGCTTTAATCCTTGATGGCCTATAAGTCTTGAACCTGGAAGTGCTAAAAGCACAGTGCTTCCAGATTCAAAAACGGCAGAGCAGATTGGAGAACAACCCCATAAAAGTGATTGGGTGGCTTTACAGCCGACTGGATCATTTTTACTCGAATAGCCACGAACCGGCAGCCATGAGTTTGTTTGCAACCATTTGAGTTACAGCACATTCATGGATGTCATGTGGATGTTAAATAGTTAAGGAACAGGTCAATAATAATGTGTAAAGTGGAAACCCATCCAAAGAGAACATACTGCATGTGGCTCCCCTAGTGCATGGGCCTCTAATAGACAATCACATAGGTCCAAGCCCCTAATTATCTATACTCTATGACAACATCGTCTGAGTCTTAGCTGGTGCTGGACCCAAACGTTGTCCTATGTGTATTGCTACACAATACTATAACAGCAGTATTTGTACCGGTTGTCTGGTTTCCGGACTGGCAGCTTCTGCCCCGCAGAAAAGTCCTGCAGCTTCTTTCATTTGTAGTGCAAAACAATAGATCATAAACTAAAGCCCCACGCCACAAATCAATAATCCAGATTATCAATTTGGTGGGCCTGGAGGTCAGGTAGACAATCAAATGAGGAATCCTATGCGTTTCAGGGTCCTAACTCATCCCCTTCATCTGGATTTATACAGGATAGGAAGCAATGTACATGAACTTAATTGAGGGTACTATGTGAATGGTGATTTGACCAATATAATAACAAACACAGGGCTGGTCAGTAGATATGTTTGGGGGTTTGTCAGGGGGGAACAATACCTACATTGCTAGTCAGATGAGATTTAGGATTCATCGTCTTCAGAGCTCTGTAATAAAAACTAATTGTCCAAAATGGAATACATTGCTCACCTGCATCTCATGTCCCGTGCTGTAGAGCGTATCGGTCTTACCGATCTCATAACTTTGGCTGTAATAAAAGGGGATAAACTATAATTAAATAGAAAAAAGGAAAGTGCATTGCCTACATGTGTATGTTCTTCAAATGCCAAATGCAAAGCGGAGTATCATAAAATAATGCTGTAATCCTAATCCCTGGAATCTGATATAATCTTCACTAGGGATGCACAGATACCAAGTACCGTACTCGGTACAAGTACAAGCACAGATACTTTTCCAGCTCCAAGACTAGACTAGAGAAAAGTTCAAAAGTTAGGAGGCAGCTGTCATTTGTAAGGAGCACACGGAGCTCCCGGGATTTGTACATCCCTTGATGTATGATTTTGTTTTTATAAATATAAATAAAGGGATGCACTGATATCAGTTTCGCGAGTACAAGTACTGCTACTTGCCCAAGTACTTACAACTGCAAGTACTGATACAGTTTTGTTTATCGTCATGTGACAGTTTTTCTAAAGCAATACAGACTAATGATTTCAGGACAGTGGTGGAGCGCCAGAGCCAGGTCCCAGCTGCAACCGCTGCAACCCTGGTAGTTCTCATGAAAATGCCAAGTATCGGCACAGGTATCTGAACTGGTATCGGTGCAGTCCTAATCTTCACCCTAGAATATCACACTGGACACAAATAAGAATGTGCTCACCGTAAGGACAATGAATGGTCTTATTAATGGTCGTCTATGTAAGGTAATAAAAAAGAAGTCTAAACTCTCACCACCAGGGGGAACCAAAAGAACAATTATAGGAAAACAACCAGAACAATCAGTGGTATGTCCTCTGCTATTACTAAAAACTATTTCATGAAAAGAAGCACAACGTTAGATAGACAAAGTCAAACACTTGAAATGATGTCATTATTCAAAATCCTTGCTGTCCAAATGTGGCCCTTTGGTGCTTGCCATGCATCCTTTGACCCCCGGCAGTTTGCAGTGGAAGTGTTGATTTTGTGAGCGGGCTGTAAAGTCAGTGATCTCTAGTAGTCTTCTGTAACATGTTCGCAGACTCTAATTGTCTCTTACAGCATGCCTCCAATCACAACTGTATCATTTCCACACCTTCTGACCATTCTGTGCAGTACGTTTGCACTGGCATCAGTGACTGGGTGATATCAGGTGCCGCAGTTGACATTAGTGACTGGGTGATGTCAGGTGCCACAGTTGACATCAGTGACTGGGTGATGTCAGGTGCCACAGTTGACATCAGTGACTGGGTGATATCAGGTGCCACAGCTGACATTAGTGACTGGGTGATATCAGGTGCCACAGTTGACATCAGTGACTGGGTGATATCAGGTGCCACAGTTGGCATTAGTGACTGGGTGGTATCAGGTGCCACAGTTGACATCAGTGACTGGGTGATATCAGGCGCCACAGTTGACATCAGTGACTGGGTGATGTCAGGTGCCACAGTTGACATCAGTGACTGGGTGATGTCAGGTGCCACAGTTGACATCAGTGACTGGGTGATGTCAGGTGCCACAGTTGACATCAGTGACTGGGTGATGTCAGGTGCCACAGTTGACATCAGTGACTGGGTGATGTCAGGTGCCACAGTTGACATCAGTGACTGGGTGATGTCAGGTGCCACAGTTGACATCAGTGACTGGGTGATGTCAGGTGCCACAGTTGACATCAGTGACTGGGTGATGTCAGGTGCCACAGTTGACATCAGTGACTGGGTGATGTCAGGTGCCACAGTTGACATCAGTGACTGGGTGATGTCAGGTGCCACAGTTGACATCAGTGACTGGGTGATGTCAGGTGCCACAGTTGACATCAGTGACTGGGTGATGTCAGGTGCCACAGTTGACATCAGTGACTGGGTGATGTCAGGTGCCACAGTTGACATCAGTGACTGGGTGATGTCAGGTGCCACAGTTGACATCAGTGACTGGGTGATGTCAGGTGCCACAGTTGACATCAGTGACTGGGTGATGTCAGGTGCCACAGTTGACATCAGTGACTGGGTGATGTCAGGTGCCACAGTTGACATCAGTGACTGGGTGATGTCAGGTGCCACAGTTGACATCAGTGACTGGGTGATGTCAGGTGCCACAGTTGACATCAGTGACTGGGTGATGTCAGGTGCCACAGTTGACATCAGTGACTGGGTGATGTCAGGTGCCACAGTTGACATCAGTGACTGGGTGATGTCAGGTGCCACAGTTGACATCAGTGACTGGGTGATGTCAGGTGCCACAGTTGACATCAGTGACTGGGTGATGTCAGGTGCCACAGTTGACATCAGTGACTGGGTGATGTCAGGTGCCACAGTTGACATCAGTGACTGGGTGATGTCAGGTGCCACAGTTGACATCAGTGACTGGGTGATGTCAGGTGCCACAGTTGACATCAGTGACTGGGTGATGTCAGGTGCCACAGTTGACATCAGTGACTGGGTGATGTCAGGTGCCACAGTTGACATCAGTGACTGGGTGATGTCAGGTGCCACAGTTGACATCAGTGACTGGGTGATGTCAGGTGCCACAGTTGACATCAGTGACTGGGTGATGTCAGGTGCCACAGTTGACATCAGTGACTGGGTGATGTCAGGTGCCACAGTTGACATCAGTGACTGGGTGATGTCAGGTGCCACAGTTGACATCAGTGACTGGGTGATGTCAGGTGCCACAGTTGACATCAGTGACTGGGTGATGTCAGGTGCCACAGTTGACATCAGTGACTGGGTGATGTCAGGTGCCACAGTTGACATCAGTGACTGGGTGATATCAGGTGCCACAGTTGACATCATTGACTGGGTGATATCAGGCGCCACAGTTGACATCAGTGACTGGGTGATATCAGGCGCCACAGTTGACATCAGTGACAGGGTGATATCAGGCGCCACAGTTGACATCAGTGACTTGGTTATGTCAGGTGCCACAGTTGACATCAGTGACTGGGTGATATCAGGTGCCACAGTTGGCATCAGTGACTGGGTGATATCAGGTGCCACAGTTGACATCAGTGACTGGGTGATACCAGGTGCCACAGCTGACATTAGTGACTGGGTGATATCAGGTGCCACAGTTGACATCAGTGACTGGGTGATATCAGATGCCACAGTTGACATCAGTGACTGGGTGATATCAGATGCCACAGTTGGCATCAGTGACCTGGTTGACATCAGTGACTGGGTGATATCAGGTGGCACAGTTGGCATCAGTGACCTGGTTGACATCAGTGACTGGGTGATATCAGGTGGCACAGTTGGCATCAGTGACCTGGTTGACATCAGTGACTGGGTGATATGAGGTGCCACAGTTGGCATCAGTGACCTGGTTGACATCAGTGACTGGGTGATATCAGGTGGCACAGTTGATATCAGTGACTGGGTGATACGAGGTGCCACAGTTGACATCAGTGACTGGGTGATATCAGGTGGCACAGTTGACATCAGTGACTGGGTGATATGAGGTGCCACAGTTGGCATCAGTGACCTGGTTGACATCAGTGACTGGGTGATATCAGGTGGCACAGTTGATATCAGTGACTGGGTGATACGAGGTGCCACAGTTGACATCAGTGACTGGGTGATATCAGGTGGCACAGTTGACATCAGTGACTGGGTGATATGAGGTGCCACAGTTGGCATCAGTGACCTGGTTGACATCAGTGACTGGGTGATATCAGGTGCCACAGTTGACATCAGTGACTGGGTGATATCAGTTGCCACAGTTGGCATCAGTGACCTGGTTGACATCAGTGACTGGGTGATATCAGGTGGCACAGTTGATATCAGTGACTGGGTGATATGAGGTGCCACAGTTGACATCAGTGATTGGGTGATATCAGGTGCCACAGCTGACATTAGTGACTGGGTGATATCCGGTGCCACAGTTGATATCAGTGACTGGGTGATATCAGGTAAAAAAACTAAATCATAAGCGCACGACTGATACTTGGTCACTGGATAAATCACGGGCTGTAAATTATGGTGTGCAGGCTCTCAATGACAGGGAGAGGACCCTGCAAATTCGATATATAAACAGAAAAACCCCCAGAAAAAGAGCGCTACTACCTAGAGAAAACTAGTATTGAATGGCATCTATTCTTAAGAGAAAGAACAAATGTGTGTAACTTACGGTTGGAAGTCTGCAAATATGCTGCAGCGATGGATGGATGAGGGGGCACTGTGAAAAAAGGCCGTCACGATACAGCGAGCCCGTCTGTGCACAGCATCCACCCACTTAGACGTCTTGTCGATACTCAGCCTATCTATCTGACTTCATTATACACGCACCGAACACAGCCGTTCGCGGTCTCGTTCTCACAACCGTCACGGTCCTCCCTCCCATAGCCGCCCTGGCCTGGCCAGCCGTGCACGCGTGCCGCTAGGATTAATCACAGTGCCCCCTTATCCATCCATCGCTGCAGCATTCTGCTTTGGACTCTCTCTAGATACCGGTCACTGTTTCACCATCCTTGACATATTTGCAGACTTCCAACCGTAAGTTACACACATTTGTTCTTTCTCTTATGAATAGATGCCATTCAATACTAGTTTTCTCTAGGTAGTAGCGCTCTTTTTCTGGGGTTTTTTTCTGGGTGATATCAGGTGCCACAGTTGACATCAGTGACTTGGTTATGTCAGGTGCCACAGTTGATATCAGTGACTTGGTTATGCCAGGTGCCACAATCAGGGTGTTTTGACATGGTGGCTGGGGTAGTCTCCTGGCCTGTCAGTCATATTTGGCCATGTTATTTGGTGGGATACACCGAGAGTCAGAGATGCCCGGGTCCTCCCGTTCCAGCCAGTAGTGAGGTAATTGCGTCACCACTGTCTAGGAAAGAACTACAAGGAGGATATTACACCACCGTTGTCCAGAGGAAGGCACAACGCCCACCACAAACCAGAAAAAGGGACGCTGTGTGCCCTTATGATGCCACATCCCAGTGCCTGAAACTTTAAAGTGACAGCTGATAACCTAAACAACGAGCTTTGCAAACAATGCTTAAAGGTTTTTTTTTGCCCGGAGTTCAGCTTTAAGACTCTGTGAAATGAGAAACATTCCAGCCCGGCCTCCAGATAAGAGCCGTGCTTTGACTTTTGCCTGGGGAAGTTTGATAAGACCTAATTTAATAGTTCTGGACATTTTTACAGATATAATCTTCATGAGACGTTCCAGCACTGACAAGAATTCCGTTTGATTCCCTGATTGTGGCCTGTGTGTAGTCAGAATGTCCTCACAGAGCTGTAATGACCTCAGTGCAGGCCCGGCGCTACCATATAGGCAGGTCAAGCAACTGCTTGACGGCGCCAGCGGGGATGGGGGGCCGAAAAATGCGACTGGTCGCAAGATGGCCGTGGCGGCTCTGATCACACCTCTCAGCGCTCCCTCTCTCTCCTCCCGGCCGCTGCAGCTTCAGAGCAACCAGGAGGAGAGAGAGGGAGCGCTGACAGGTGTGATCAGAGCCGCCTCTCTGAGCAGAGGAGAGGCAGATATGTTCCAAAATTAATAAAATGTGTGTGTGTGTGTGGCGGGGGGGAGGGGGCTGCTGAAGTGCCTGTGTAGGCAAAAATTCTTGCACCGGCCCTGCCTCAGTGAGTGACGGCGTCCTTGTACCTGAGCCAGAAGGAACTCTGTTCATACAGTTTATCTTCATACGTGTCCACTCCAAAATTGTAACACAGTACAGACAGGTAAGCGGCCTGTGAAATAAATACTTGAGGAGTTAGTCATTCAGACAAATATGTGAGCGCTTTACTCTGCTGTGACTTTACACTGCGTGGATATAGAACAATGGCGGCATTGTACGAAGCATGGACAGCTCCGGGGCTACTGGAATCTGATCTCCGGATGTATACAGTGCAAAACAAACTTCTACAGTGTATACTGTTACTATACCTGTACTTTCCATTTCCAGTAACTTTAGTTTGATTTCTTCTCTTTACCATCAGTGGTTCTCAACACGGGGCCCTAGGATACTTCAAGGGGGCCACAGGTGAACAAAATGTAAAAGGGAGCACAGAAAAACAAAATCAAAGCAAATACTGCTGTGTTGATCCTTTTGGGGGTGAATACTTCGCATGTTGATGTTACATAGCAAGAACAGAAAAAAAGGTATTCATGGGTAAACAGTGTCATTTCCAAAAAGTCTGCACAGCCTTCTCTTTCAGGGCCAGCAGGTGGCGCCGTTGTCTCTTATTCACGTTTATCATTGTATCTTTGCTGATACAATTGTAGCCGCCATAACCTTTTGTAAGGTGGCTACTAGAAATTTGGTGATTGCCAGAGCTGCCTACAGTCTGGCTGGATTATAGTGGCATTTATTTGGTTAATTCCAGGTAGGGATTGTAGGGTTAGGGTTAGGTTAACCCTAACCCTAAGGTGGAGTGTGACTCTGCTGTATTGTGGGATTGCCAATGGGGGACACTGTGAGTGTACTGTATGTCCAGTACAGCAGCCCTTTCACTGGGTCTTTCTTAACCAGTGTTGCATGCTGGGAAAGGGTACATACACTCCAGGGAGGTGCCATGTGGTCTAGTCAGGTGTCAGCCATGGTTTAGCCCAGGGCTGGGTGCAACCCAGCCACCCCCCAGGCTACGCCTGAGGCCTGGAGGTGGAAATATTGGGGTGCGGAAAGTGTTTCCCTGGGCCTCAATTCTGGAGGAGGCTTCTGCTGTTGTTAGTGCAGAACCAGGGAAGCTGATGGCTGCTGAAGGTACCCGGAACATAGTGGCCCTCAGGAGCAAGTCTGGTGTCTCTCCTGTTAAGGATCTGTGCTCATCCCTGCTCATCTGTTACTCACATTCCTATTTGATGAGCTACAAATGGAATCTACGCTGAGATGCTAAGAGGGACTAATGAGTCCAGAGTCTATGTCTGTGCTACTCAGGATGTCTAGGACTCCTGTACCCTCCTTCCAAAGTGTGACAATGTTATTATAATTATAGTTTTGGAGCGGATATCAGCTTTGTGGGCACTAGAAGAGGGCGGTTAAAAGGCTAATGGGGCTGCTGCACATGTTGAGTCCCCGCGCACGCCGGAGTGAGAGCAATAATTCTAGGGCCAGTATTTTTGGATATCTCTAAACTGATGACCTGTGGGGGCTTTTAAAGCGCCGTCAATTGACTTTTTGGGGTACTGAATTTTGTCGCCTTTTCACGGACGCTTACAATTTTTAACCTGGGCATGTTGGGTATCTATGTACTCATTGTAACCTCATCTTTTATATTTTATTTAAAAAAATTGGTATTTTATTGTGTTTTGGGGCATTTAAGTAAATTTTTCACTACATTTTGCGGTTTGATAAGGAGTTGCGCTAATATCGTGCAACATGAAAATTTGCAGTTGCCACCATTTTATTCTATAGGGTCTTGGCTTTCAGAAAATATATAATGTTTGGGGGTTTTAAGTAATTTTCAGGCCTAAAATGTGGAATATATCATGTGTGCAAAAAATGGGGAAAAAAAGGCCTCAGTCATGAAGGGGTTAAATACAAATAATATATAGAAATCCACTTTACAAATAAAAAAAAAAATATTATATAATAAT